GAATTAGGTTAGTCTTTATCTTAAAACTAGAATTTCTTTTCTTAAAAAATCCATAAAAAATATACTTAGTTTAATTTAATTTATTTTAGTTTTAGAACTTAAGTTATTGGTTTTTTTTAAACTAATTGCTTGCCTTAATAAATAAATAAACTTTTTTTAATTTTTGATTAATTTAAATCATCTTTGCAATTTAATTTAATCTCTAAACGTATTTTAAACTTAATTATGAAATACTCTCAAAAATCACAAAAATAATCAAACTCGTAATTTTCAAATCAATAATTTCACCATTGCTAATCTCTAAATCCACTTAACCATAATTCACTATCTAACTTCATTTGTCAGTTTTATCCCTTTACATTTAATCTCTAATCACTTTTCGTCGTACACATTACCTACATTTCATTAACTCGTGCTTATCAATCACATCATCGCTTTTATCCATTCGCTATTCTACATTACCGATATTCCCCTCCAAAGGAAAGGTTCACATGCTTGACCCCCGTGTCAATGCCTTTACCCTCACCCTAGCCTTAGGATTTGAGTCCCCGTGCTCAGCTTTTTAGGCGTCCCGTCGTGGACATACCTTCATCCTTTTCAATTTAACTTTTAACGTAGATAGGAGTCTTCGCACTCCAAGTAAGCGTTTCCATATGAACGCTTATTTCCCTTTGGAACTTTGACTCACAGTCAATAATTCCTCAAACCCTTTAGGGGAACTACAGATACTCTGATTCCATTCCCGTCAGGATATGTAGGCACAGGATGCGACGTCTTGGCGAGTATACTTAGGACTAACCCCTTTAGGTCCTTCTCTTTACCTTTAACCCTTAGCATTACCCTTAAACAGATAAACCATAGCAATAAACAAACATAAAACCAGAGGTTCCTGTAGAGTACTACAGAAACTTAGGATGCTAGCACCTTCCCTAAGTTTAACCAACCCCCGAACCTTAGATCTCTCCCTGCGTTGTGTTTACAATGCAAAATAGGTTTTCCTTCCTTTAACCTTTCCCTCGGATAAATCAAAGACCGGTTGCAAATGAATTAAAGATTCAAGTTAATCAATAGCTTGGTATCCAAAGTTCACCGCGACAGGTAGAACCGAAGTTTAATAACACTCTTTTTACGAAAAAAGGTTTCCGATTTATCCCAAAGGAAAAAGGTTTGAAATTTGTTTGTGTTTTTTAGTAAAGTGAATTAATTCGGTTTGTGATTCACGTTGCACTAAAGACTATGACATAGGAGCGAATGCGTCGCGTATCGCCCCCAAACGGGACGTACACTAAACACTCTAGACAAGCGAGAGGAGACCCCCCACTCATCATTCCCCACGTAGCTTAAGGCTCGTAGCGCACAATGTTCATCTCATTTTATTAGGTGAATTAGAATTGTTTTGAGATGAGAACGAGAGAGACGCACGAAAGGTCTAAGGGAAACTCGGCCCTAACATTGTCATGCAAAGTGGTCCTAATGTTAGGATTAAAAGGGGGAACATCTACCCTAATGTTAGCATGCTTGGATTGAACACCTAATGTCTCTCCTACTCCCATCCTAAACGGAGGGACTAGGAACCCTATGGGGATCATGGCAAAAAGCATAAGAAAGCACCAAATAAATTCAATCACAAGTAAGAGATGCAAACATGGAATGCAACACACAAGCAAAGAAAGGAACAAAGTGTGGGATAAACACCACCACAAGCACATCTCGACCTTTATTAATGTAAGAAAATAAAGATGCAAAACACAAGAGGAAATGCAAATGCAAGAAGGCAAGCAATTCATGAATATGCAAGCACATCATCACTATGAACAATAACACATAAGTGTGCATCCAAGTGGAAAACAAACACAAATCGACGAAGTCTCGATTAAACAACCAAAACAACAATGTATATCCCCAAACATTTCACTTCTAATGCATCATATTGAACTACGATGATTCGATGCGGAACAGTACTCAAACAAGCAAGAAAATCATCAAAACAGACCCACTGGCACAGTGTTAATCGGTTAACGCCAGAGGTTAACCGATTAACCACTTAAAAATGGCTGAAAATCTGGAAATTTATACATGTTAATCGGTTAACACCAGGCGTTAACCGATTAACACCTTGAAAACGTTGAAAAATTTGAATATTTGAAATGGTTAATCGGTTAACCATATGTGTTAACCGATTAACACTGTGCCAACAGCAGAAAAACAGCAACAGAACAACATTTTCAGCAAATAAGCACTTATCCGATCAACCGGATGATCGCATAATCACTTAATCACGAAATTAAACCAGCAAACCATGATTCAAACAACATGTAAACAGATTAACACAACCAAATCATGGATCAAACGGATCAAATTAACCACAAGCTAATCAAAGATGAAAATCCACATGATTATACAAATAAGCTAAAAACAGATTCAGATCAAGAATTTCCAACCTTCGAAGCGGAGATTTGCTTCGGTTAGTGTTGATTCAACTGTAATTGAACATATCTAATGCTAGAAGTCCGGAATACTTCAAGATCCACACCAACTCTTGTAATAGCAATTAAGATCCTTCAAGATCAATCCAAAATAAGCCAAATAATCACTTCCAAAATCACTTCCAGATTCAGATCCAATTTTGCACGAAAATTGGATGAAGAAATCAATTCAATGAAGATGATGGATGGAGGTTTGAGCTCAAGAATTCATTGATTCCAAGGAAGAATCAAAGAATTCAATGGAAAAGAGCTTTGGTGAAGGTTTTGGAAGATGAACAAGTTGAGAGAAACTTGAGAGAGAATGAGTAAATTCTGAAATTGAAATGAAATTATGAGGCTTAGATGTGTGTGGTTTGGAGTAATTCAAATAAATACCCCTTAGGTTTGGATCCAAATGAAAGGTTTGGAAGATGGTTTGGGAAATTTGGAATGGAGTGAGGAGTTTGGAGGGAAAATGAAATTAATCAAATTCTAAAATGATTCTAGATCCTTCCCAATTGTAAAATTTGAAATTCAAGTGATCAAAATTGGACCCCAAAACAGCTCCCTTTGAAAATTCACGTGCAGAGCCAAAAATTGCACTGGTTAATCGATTAACCATATAGGTTAATCGGTTAACACCTTCAAAACTTCCAAATTGACCTAATTTTGACTTGGTTAATCGATTAACCATATGTGTTAACCGATTAACACCTTCAAAAATTTGAATTTGGCGCCTTTTGGAGAGAAATCTGCACATTTGCCCTGTTTCAACTGTTTGGAGCTCTGTTAAGCTTCTGAATCTCGTTCTTGAATGTTACAACTGTAAGAATGCTTGGTATGAGCCTGAGTGCTGCTTCCTGAAGTTATCCTGCAAAAATAAAAATAAAATCGGCCGCTCGACCGTCGGGCAAAATAAATGTCGGAGCCTCTGATGCTTGTTGTTTGGTCTTTCAGTCATTTGCGCCAAAATGAACCTGAGGCACAAGAATGCCTTGATCCCATGCCTCGAGAACGAATGCTATGATATGCGAAAAATGCAAAATGCAAAGAAACAAAAGTCAGTTAAGGTTAAAACGAAAAGGCAAATTTTGGGGTGCTACACCATGGTCAAGGTTCTAGGGGGAGAAGGTTTGTTGATTGATTTTAGGAGAAGAGGCAAGTCGTCATCTTAGGGAGAATACTCGACTTGAACCACCACAAGCGTATGGATGATGGTCTTTGCGTCGCATTGAGAGAAGGGTTCTAACCTAGATTTATAATCGACGAGTATGCCACATACCTCTCTGAAGCGGAAAAGATTCTACGTCTTTCTCGACTACGTTATGGGGTAGGAGAATTATATCTCGACTACATAGGTGACTTATGTCTAATTCTCTTGTAGGAGAATGAGAGGATTTAATTGTAAGTTTTCTAAGTTGAAGTTCTAAGGGAGAGTATCCTAAAGATGTAGAGAGTGTGTTTTAAGCGGATCGACTTGAGGGGAATCAATGATCCAGCATGGGCAAATTGATGCAAATGAATAGTGCAGTGCGCACGACTTATAAAGTCGCACACAAGTTCTTCCCTTGGACATGTAACTCGTGTAATAATAAAGATTTAAGGATCAATAGATAATTTTGAATAAAATAGTCAGTCCGTACGCATGATCAAACGAAATGATCATGAAGTTGAGGTAAAAAGGGGTTTCTAGCCTAATGTTATCATGCGATAGGATCAGAATCAAAGTCTGATTCAATTTGTCGAGGTAGAGTCGAATCGAAACATAACGGGATATGGAAATCAAAATGGGCAAACCTTCATATGTAGTAAGTGCACGAGTTGTCAAATGGGAATTAGAAATTGACATAAGGATTTAGTAGGGGCATATCACAAAATTTTATCCAGAAATCCTCAATAAAGAAAAAAAAAACTAGATTAATTTAATGTTCTAAAAGGTTAAAAACTTAATGAAAAGTTAAACAATGCTAATTAAAAAAAACTTAATCACACACCTAAACCAAGAAGTAATCGATAGTTAATTATGGATTTGATTAATCACAAGTTATATTCACAAATTTTAACTGATTACAAATTAGTAACAAATTTAGATGAAGAAAAGATAAAATTAAAAAAAAAAATCTAAAAATAAAAAAACAGTAAAAGCAGGGGCTAGGATAAACATGGGCTCGATCCATCTCTTTCCTTCATAAAAAAAGAAAAAAAAGAAAAAGAAAAAATGGGCCTAAGGATGCTGGCCCACTACATGATGTATCAGCAAAAGAAAGAAAAAAACGGGTCGGTTTGTTTTGGTTCAAAAGTGACATTGCCCTTGAAAAAAAAGTGAAAGCAGAAACCCAGGAACCCGTAGCACTTGCTTCTCGTCTCTCTCTCTTACTCTCGCGCGCGCGCGCGCGCGATTTCGCCGTTGAGTTCCTCCGCGTTCGCCATCTCTATCGTCTTCGCAACTTTGCTCTCTCTCCGGCCGCATCTCGCTACCTTCAACTCGTAGCTTCTCTCTATCGACACCACCCAAAATCGAGCAAAAAAACCGCCATGGAAAACTCAGATTCAAATTGGAATCACCAAATCAAAGCTTACAAGTTCCTAATGGAATTCTACACATTTAGACATGGGGATTATGACGATTGCGTACCTTCGAAGTGTTCGACGCGGTGGTTTGACGACGATGTTCTCCAGGTATTGACTCCCTCCTTCTGCTGCTGTTGATGCTTGCCTGAATTTCCATTGTTGCTCTCTCTGCGAATCGTATTATTGTTGCTACTCTTTGCGTGCCTATTGTTATTGCAATTAGTAATATCCTATTATTATTCTTCTTTCAGAATCATTTTTGTGCTTGTGATACCAAAATCTGTGGTTTTGAATTCATTTCCATTTCCGAATCGACAATATTTGAACATGTTCCTTGACTTGTTTTGGAAGGAAATATGGGACTGTTATGACTTGATTTGTATAGTATTCTCTTTCACAAACTTGACATAAATGCTGCTGATGTTGTTTCCATTCCAAGTCCAACATGTTTGAAGTGAGTTTCTCTTTCTAGCTGACATGTCAGGGCCTGTTTTGGAGAATTCCAATTTCTGTCTTGAATGTGCTTAGAGAAAAATCTTTGAAAACACGTTACTATAGTATGACTGTTTTGATAGCGGTTTGATCTTTTGTCACGATTTTATTCGCAGGTCTTGAATTTTTTCTTAAAAAAAGGCTACTCCCTTGAACCGTGAAAGACTAAGACGGTATAGTTGTGATTTTCGCTGAACAGTTTCGAGTATTTGGGCTGAAGAATCCTTGAGGGGCAAGCTTCTCATTGTCTATTACGCCGGAAATGGAAGCTTTATCAATCCAACTTATGATGAGTCAGAAACTGTGATATCAAATTCCACATGGGCACTATTTCAGTGGAGTCTTCTTTGCCATAGGTGCTCGTTTAGCAGTTGCTGCCCGAGCTAAGTTCCTTTTTCATGGGTTTTGAATTTCGTATTATGTTTGGTTTTGCTTTGAACATCAATGCCCTCGTAAACTTATTATTCTTCTTGCTCTGAATTTTGGACAGGTCATTTAGGAAATCACGATGCCGACGACTTCGTAGGAGCAATATCAAGGTTTTGTATCGAAATCCATGATTTGGAGGAACATTAAGCTTTCTTTCAATTATTTGTTTGGAAATGGTCCACCTTCTAAATCACAGGGCCGTTGGATACGTCAAACTTTGGACCTCTCAGGGGGATTATGAGCGCAAACATCCTCTTCCTAGCGATCATTCATTGAACCATCCACAATAGCTGCCTTATTGGCGTCCTCCTCAATCTCTTTGTACCCCGTATTCAATTCACTGTCAAGTCTTACAACCAGTCGAAAGAAAGGTACACGAAGATGATAAACCGACTGCTCGGTGCAAACTCAGAGTGAGAACATGTGCTAATCACAACTTAAGGTTGATGTTGAGGCAAATGTTTTGGATCGAGTGAATGGAAATGGTTATGAAGAAATTTTTTTGAAATGAATCCATGGCGTGGATTTGGGAACTCTGTAATGACTTGAGTATCGTGGTGTCTTGCGATGAATACTTTGAATTTGTGAATTCTTATGATAGTCATTGTAGTAAAGCTATTAAATTTGCGAATCCTTTTGTCATATTTTCCAATTTTTGAGGTGGGATTGAATGCACCCTTGTGTCTTGGATAGTAATGGACCTCGTTCATTTGAAGTAATTTTGAACTTTCGGAGCTAATTCTGAGCTTAACTTGCAAAACTGAATATTAAGATTAAAACTTGATGCGAATCACATAAAACCTCCTTTTAATTTAAAGTTCTTGAATGTTAAATTCCTTATGGTGAGCTTTGAATTACTCCTTATATTATTTTCCAAAAACTCTTGAATATTGCAATTTGAACTAATTCAATAATAGCACTTTCAAAGCATATCAAGAAAATCCACATTCTTTCTCTTAAGAATCAAAAGAATTTAATCCCTGATCTAGCTTCAAGAATAAAGCTTTGTCTGACCTTTATTCTCCTCATAGTTCAAGATTGAACTTGATAAATGAATAAGGCTTCGAGGAAATATTGTAATGTGACTTGTTAGGAAAGCCCTAAATAAATCTCACATGCCCATGCTCTAAACCAAATGGAAGGAAATCTCTAACTCTCTTTGTAGTATAGACTAAATCTAGTGTATTTGGTTGATGGTGTACTAAAAATTGGACAGACTAACTCTTAGAGGCTCCTTTGAAGTAAACCCTAATTCATCAGTGAACAAACAAACAAAACAAGACATAAATACTTGGTTAGCCTTGTATGTATGGTTGACCTAGAAATGTTATGCAAGATGATGCACAAAGGGGTGCGATCTTATGGTTAAAAAATTAGGGTGTGATAGATGTTCCTATTTAAGTTTCCTATATCCGGAGATTTGGTGATTGAAATCTTCATCTCGACGAGATAGGAAACTTAAATACAAACATGCACAATTTTTTAGCCCTAAGATGCCACAAGATGCACATGATATGACATGAAATGATATGAATGCAAGACAATGATCCTGTAAAGAATGATGTCACAGGGAATAATTGTATTCAGAAAACACCGGAACACAGTTAAAGCACAGAAGAACAGATGAGGAATAACTTAGCAAAGCAAGACTCCACGGGGAATGATCCAACTCCACTGGGGAGAGGCAAACAAATACCATTAGGGATAGCTTGAGCAAATGGTATCTCGTATAAAATAAAGATGTATATAATTTATTATCAGGAATGTGGTAGTTCAAACAACGAGCGAGAAACTTGAAATAATGGATAACCTACTACCAACAGAAGGTAGCCTTAGCAAAGGCTTCCAGTTGAAAAAAAGAAACGCATGTTACCTACTATCAATCATATGATAGCCTAAGCAAATGTAACACTTAAAAAAAAGAAGGGTGACCTACTACCAAACTTGGTAGCCTGAGTAAAGGTCTCTGTCCAAAATGATACAGTATATTACCTACTATCAAATGTATCACAGCCTAAGCAAAGATAATAACCAAAATAAGCTTCTATGATCTTAATATAACTCAGCTTCTTTTTTAACTAAATGATTCATTTAGAAAGGGAAAATAACCCCCCCCCTACGCTTCAAGGTTGTTTGCCATGAACGGGTCTCAATTTCTTCTTTAATCAAGTATTCCACTTGAAAGGGGTAAAATAAACCTCCCCACGCTTCAAGGTTGTATGCCATGAACGAGTCTCAGTTTCTTCTTTATTCAAGTATTCCACTTAAAAAGGGTAAAATAAACCTTCCCACACTTCAAGGTTGTATGCCATGAACGAGTCTCAGTTTCTTCTTTAATCAAGTATTCCACTTGAAAAGGGTAAAATAAACCTCCCCACGCTTCAAGGTTGTATGCCATGAATGAGTCTCAGTTTTTTCTTTAATCAAGTATTCCACTTGAAAAGGGTAAAATATACCTCCCAACGCTTCAAAGTTGTATGCCATGAACGAGTCTCATTTTCTTCCTAGAAAGGTGAATACTTATGGGAAAGCATCTTCACAGGGGATTTGAATTTTACTGGAGATTTATGACTTCAACGAGGATCCATAATTTACTGAAGATTAGGAAGTATCACCGAGGATCTTCAAAAGAGATGCAGGCCGGTTGATTTGTAAAACATGTCTTCTCAAATAAAGAGAAAGATCAACTATAAGAATCTTTACCAAACTTCTCGAAGAGATGCCATTTGATGGAAACAACTTTAAATAGTGGACTCCCTGGGGAGAACATCACTGAGGATCAATATTGTTGTAGTTTGAAGTTGCATTGAAGCAAATAAAATCCTTGTATCAAGAATTCTCAAATAAAGAGAAACACTTGTAACGTCTCCAACAAACTTCTTTGACGGATTTTCGGAGAGATGCCATTTGATGGAAGAAAAAGTTGATAACCTTGGTAATTGGGGACAAACAAACTATCTTGGAAAGAGACTGCCATTTGCCATCCAAATAGAAAACCTGAGAACAAACTGCTAGAATAAAGTGCTACCACTTGTTGTCTGGTATGAATTCCAAGAGAGTGTTATAACACTTCCGGAGAAACATCTTATCTTCAATGGTGATCTTCAAACAAATTCCTTCTGGGAGATCAAAGTGCAAAACAAATGCACGCTCAAACCAAGTTCAAAAGTCTGGGGATATCCAAAATCGATTGTCAAGGACAAAAGTTCAATTCAGGATGTAATTGAAGAGGAATGGTCAAGCAAGACTCTATCCATTGAGGAATGAACTCAATTGGGGTTTATCTTTATTCAAGAATGGAAAAGAAATCTAAAGCAACCATCTTCCACGAGGATCAAACTCAGTGGGGAATTAAGAAATGTTATGCTCTTTCTGCCTAGGGTTGACGACTCTACTTGGAGGGAGAGGGCAAACCTAGTCATTTGGGGATAAACACAACCAAAGTGAACAAACAAACAAACAAACAAAATGCGAAATGCACGGATTCCATGTATCTACATGCAATGGTCATGCTGACAAAACGATGAGAAAGGACCGTTAGAGATGAAATAAACATCTCAAAGAAGGATACTCAGCCAAATTTTCACAGACAGAAACATCACTAGGATGGATAAAGAACCACTCTCGGGAAAATAATCATGCGTCAAAGCTTTGAATTTCCCTGGGGAAATAATAACCTGATTCACTCGAAAGGTTGTCGAGATGAGCCTAGTTGCTTCATGGGGATTATAACCCATGGATAAAATAAATATTTTCTTCACTGGAGAAGTCCTTATTGGTGAGGATGAAATAAATACCCTCTTCAAAGAGAATCTTGTGTGAGTATCAGAGTTTTGAGACTTTTTTGGGGATGAAATAAACATCCGTGAATGTCCGTTTATTATTCATATATCAAGTAATACACACACCAAAAGATTTTGAAAAGATATTTTGTTTAAAATTACTGTCAAAATAAAAAAATTTATTTGCGAAGATAGAAAGAAATAATAAAGATTGTCTGAAGGCTCAATCTCATTTTATTCAAATGGTATTCAGCAAAATGGCATGACTCCAATATATTATTACAATGTTGGAAAATGATAATAATATTAACAGTTACATTAGAAGAATAATGACCACTATCTTCCTAAACAAACTTGAACTTTCCTCTGTTTTGAGCCCTATAACTTGATTGGTGAATCTTATCTAATAATAGTCTTTTGTAGTTCCACTCTGGACTGTCCCCTTCAAGCATAGTACTTCTTGGAGGTGTCTATATTCACTGGGCGAGTGATTTCTTCTTCATCCATAGTTTCTAACATCAGAGCGTCTCCTGAGAAGACTTTCTTGACAACATATGGATCGTCATAGTTCGGAGTCCATTTTCCTCTAGTATCAGTAAGGAATGATTGGATCTTCTTGAGCACAAGATTGCCAT